GGGGACGGTCCTCATGTAGAGAGGACGAGTGATAGCTTATGCTTCGCGGCAGCTGAAGCCGCACGTACGTGATTATTCTACGCATGATTTGGAGTTGGGGACAGTGGTTTTTGCCCTCAAGATTTGGAGGCACTATCTTTATGGGGTCCGTTTTACTATCTACACTGATCACAAGAGTCTGAGGCATATTATGGATCAGCCGAACTTGAACATGAGGCAGCGCAAGTGGCTGGACGTAGTTAAGGATTATGACTGCTAGATCCTTTACCATCTCGGTAAAGCAAATGTGGTGGCGGATGCCTTGAGCCGCAAGTTGGTTGGGTCCTCAGATGGGGTATCGTGTATGAGGATATTAGTGGATTCCCTGCTTTCGGGATTGATTAGGTAGACTCGGGCCGAGGGTGTTCGGGAAGAGAATTGGAAGAAAGAGAGGATCAGGGGTGAGATTGCCAGATTTGTTCCGGATGGTCATGGCTTGTTGACCCGATGTGGTCGGGTCTGGGTTCCGATGTGTGGTGGGGTCAGACAGATTGTATTGGAGGAGGCTCATAAGTCTCATTTTTCTATCCATCTGGGGGCCACCAAGATGTACCGGGATCTGAGATTGAGCTATTGGTGGTCGTGTATGAAGAGGGAGATAGCTCGGTATATGGAGAGATGCATGATGTGCAAGATGGTCAAGGATGAGCATCAGAGGCCGCATGACAAGCTGCAGCCCCTGGAGGTTCCCATGTGGAAATAGGAGAAAATTTCGATGGATTTCATTACCAAGTTGCCGAAGACGGCGAAGGGTTTTGATACTATATGGGTCATGATGGATCGATTGACCAAGAGTGCCCACTTTCTGGCGGTACGGGAGAGTTCTTCGGCCGAGAAGTCGGCCGATGTGTATGTTTTCCAGATCGTTGCTTGCCATGGGATTCCGGTCTCCATTATTTCAGACCGTGATGTTCGGTTCACTTCCTTTTTCTGGCAGAAGTTCCATAAGGAACTGGGCACGAGGTTGCACTTCAGCACAACTTATCATCCGCAAACCGATGACCATAGTGAGTGGACGATATAGAACCTTGAGGATATATTGCGGGACTGTGTTATCGATTTTGGTGGGAGCTGGGACTCCTACCTACCTCTTGTGGAGTTCTCCTACAACAACAGTTATCACTCCAGCATTGGTGCTCCGCCTTTTGAGCTCTTGTATGGGCAGATATGTCGTACCCCGGTTTGCTGGGGGCGAGGGTGGTCACAGGGTTATGGGGCGGACTGAAGTGGTCCTTCAGACCACGAAGATGGTTCAGCGAATTAGACAGAGATTGTAGACTGCTCGCAGTTGGCAGAAGATCTATGCCGACCGGCGCCGATCCGAGTTGGAGTTTCTGGTCGGCGACATGGTGTTACTGAAGGTCTCACCTTGGAAAGGTGTGATACGCTTCAGGAAGAGGGGAAAATTGGGTCCCCGGTTTATTGGGTCGTTTCGAATGATCGCCAGGGTTGGCAAGTTTGCTTATAGATTGTATCTTCCTGATGAGCTCAGTTAGATTCATAGCACTTTCCATGTTTCGTAGCTGCGGAAGTGCGTATTGGATGAGGATGCGGTGGTTTCATTGGATGATATTCATGTTGATGAGCGCATGAACTATGTTGAGAGGCCAGTAGCTATCCTGGAAAGGAAGGTAAAGGTTTTTCATGGCAAGGAAGTACATTTGGTAAAGGTACGATGGCAGCACCGGAGGGGCTCTGGGTGGACCTGGGAGTCGGAGGCTGAGATGTGGGAGCATTATCCCGAGTTGTTCACTGCAGCAGACTTCGAGGACGAAGTCTAGTTCAAGTGTGGGGAGGGGGGTTGTAACACCCTGATATTCAGGTACTTCCAAAGTTATCCTTATGGTTTTATTTAATGTCATTTTGGTCCTTGTGATAGAAGAAGTAGCCATGAGAAGCCTTAGTGGCAAAACCGTAATTTTGAAAGGATAGGAGTACGCTATGTGTACGTGTGTACGCTTAGCGTACTGGGGCGCGCCCTAGTACGTATGGCGTACTCATCAGACATTGAAAACCCTAATTTTTAGGGTTGAGCCCTATATAATCCCCCTTATAACCTCATTTCCCTCACCCTTTCAGCCTCCACCCTCTTTGAGTCGATTTTTAAAGCCCTAGCCCTTGTGTGTGTTGAGCTTAAGTGTGTGTATGTGTTCTTAGTGTTGAAGAAAGAAGAAGGGATTCTTTGATAAGCTTTGGTGTGGGATTTAAGCTTGTAGATCTGAGATCTTCATCTCTTTGGGAAGCTCCAAAAGGTATAAAGTCTTGAACTTTACTTGTATTTCTTAGAAATCTAGCCATATGGAGTTTTATGAGTTTGTCCCCTTTTCTTGGACTTGATGAGTAAATGCTACTCTAAGACCAAATGAGCTACCTTTTCAGAAAATTTGAGTTGAGTTAAGTCATAAAATGCTATCTTGACTTATTTAGTGCTTGCATGCAAAGTGTAGAGGTCCTTAGTGGTTAATACCAACTAAGAGGTTGGTTTTGGGTCTTAATGATGCATACATAACCATAACGTTGGAAACTTTATGGTTAAGAGCACCTTCTTGGACTTGGATCTAGTTATTGGACGTTTGGACTGAATGGAATAAGCTCTTTTTTGAAGTTTTGCATGGCCACCACGTACGCTGGGCGTACCAGGGCGTACGTTGGGCGTAGGTGGTCGGCATCGCGTTCTTGGTCAAGGCTTGACGGAGTACATTGAGTGTACAGCTAGGTACGCCCCGCATACTCATTCTGTTGGGTTTAGGAGTTTGGGCTTCAAGTTTTGGGCCACCTTTTAGGCTTGGATGCTTGGGCGCTTATTGGACCATCTGAGTATGGGTGTTTTGGGCTAAGTGAAGAGATGGACCTTAGGGTAAGGCCCAAGTAGGAGTTTGGGCCCAATTTGGTAAATTGGGCAGATTATGGGCCTTGAGTGATTACTTAGTTTTAGGCCTTTTGGATCAAGATTTGGGCCTGGGTCTTAGCCCAACTAGGGAAAGGGTAAAGTGCCCTTTTACCCTAATGATGGACTATTAGCCTTGGTTGTAATCCAATTATTAATTGGATGATTATTTTGTTGTGATAGCGCGAAGATTTTAGTGAGCCAGCAATCGGAGACTTTCAGTCTGATTCAGCAGTGTGAGGTGAGTTTTCCTCACTATACTTATGGGTCGAAGGCACCAAGGCCGACCATTTGGATTGTTATCTTGATTATCGTATGATTGAGTACAGTACCGATCTGTTAGATCGGTATCCTGGTAGATAGGATGATGCTATGCTTAGTGATCTGTAAGATCTGTACGCTTGTTATTGGATGGTTAATTGTATGATTATTTGTTATATATGTGTGTCGATACGGTGTATGTGTGGTTGGGTTGAGATGGTCCGGCTTTGTACCGAAGGCCAACAGACCCAGGGCGTCCCGGATAGACTGACCAGAGAACGTTCTAGATAGGTTGAAGGCCCGGTGTGGCGTGCCAATCATGTTGTAGGTTCTGTGAGCATACCAGATAGACTGCGGGCCGGTGGGGCGTTCCAGTCAGACTGAAGGCTCTATATACATGTTGTTTATTGTTATTATTTTGGTTTTGTGTTGGGTTGGTATTTTGGGGGAACTCACTAAACTTTGGGCTATGTTTCAGGTACGTCAGATGATCGCGGGAAGGCAAAGACGTGATCGTGCACCTCCTTGTGTTTTGTTTTATGATTTTGGGAAAACTGTGATAATAAACATGTTTTGAAAACTATTTTGTAAACAATGGTGGTTTGTGAAATTGTTTGAAAAGTTTAAATTTTTCATGAATTTTATGGATGTTACACATTAGGATGCTATTGGTCACAAGGAGAAATAAAAAAAGCTAGTAAGTAGTTTTTGAGTGGTGTGACAAAGCTAACACATCCAACACATATTTACATTAGCAAATGAAGGTAAATGGGTCGGCGTTGGTACACGCGGGCGTACTCTTTGCTTATGGGGACATTGATCTGTAGCGCAAGTAGAGTTCGTGCGCCGTTTTTCTTCTCTACCATGATGAATTAATTGATTTAATGTAGGCATAAGTCGTTCTTTCTTTCTTTTGTCCTTTACCCCCGATTTTTCCCCTGTAATATAACTAGTGTTTACTCCGAAGCTCCCCTTTGCCATTCATAAAGAGATTCAATCATCAAAATCAATAAAAAGGTCCTTACGGACCAAGATCCAATGGGATCAATCTTTTTGGGAGGTACCACCCAAGGAAAGGAAAATGTGACTTCCAGATTAGAAATAATAAATAAAGTAGAACAAGATAAAATTGTATATCAAAACGACTTTTGGCATCATCGAAAGGATCAAAACCACATTTATGCAAAATAAATAAATAAATAAATAATTCTAACATGTAGTTGCAAGAACCAGATTCCAAACTGTTTCAACGGCCAGAAAAACAGATATAAACCAGCGGTTTATACCGAAACCAGACCGGTTTGTTTATCGAATTCGGATTGGTCTAAAACCGGTTTCACACCACAAACCAATTTTCTTGTGCACCTCTAGTGTCATACATCAGCATTGACCCAAAACTTTAGAGTATTGTATGCACATCAAAAGCTTTCTACAGATTTCAAGAGTTCTTATGGAGATAGTGGAAGTATCTTGAAGAATCTTCCTACACCATGTACTTATATTATGTCACAAAGTTTTATTTTAAGAGAAACTGTAGCAGTTACTTTAGATTAATCTCGGTTACTGCTGAAAAGGTGCAATGTGATATAAAGAGGAAAATGTTATTTAGCCAAACCATTTCAATCATATAAAGCACACAAAAGTAGAAGTACAAGGAGGAACCTAGAAGAATCATACCAATGACAAGCAGCAATTATAACAATATGTTATGAAGAAATACTGAAATCTAAATGAAAACATAGGCGTTTATGAGAAACACTTGTATTTTTTTTTTCTTTTTGAAAACTGGCCAACTAGATACTTAAAACTTAAAGCGGCAGTATTTAAAACATTAACACTATCAGACACAATATATCACAAGAAAGTAACAGTTAATAACACTTATACGATCCATCAAACATAAGTTTTTGAAATCCACCAAATGCAAATTATTCAGAACCATAAAACAAAAGATACTAAAATCCATTAGAAATTATCTTCAACAGCCTCAAACTCTGGAACTTGGTCCTGGGACTGAATGATCTCCCTTAAGCAACTGAGAAATCAAATGGGAAGTCAGTAAACAATAAATATTATACTATAAGCAAAGAGTATATAGTACATAGATATTCCCTCATCTGTTGCAAATGAAAATGAAAGCATCAAATGAGTAAACTTTTTATATAAATACAGACATCACCATAAACATTAATAATAATTCAGAAACCATATGTAACTCTTTAGTTTGTATTATGTGATAAATGAAAGAAACATCAAAGTCTATAGTTTGTAGATACATACCTTACAACGTTTCTTGATATCACCTAATTGCCTCTTTTTCATTGGACTCCCATTAACATAAGGAGATACAAGAGTTTCCACATAGATAGGGGCACCAATAAAATCCCTATTCCTGAAAAGGAAAATATCACGATACCATGACTTTTTGTAACGAATGTAATGCTTCAACGTCTTCAAGGAGTGTAAAACTACTCTTCTCTCACAATCCTTTCCAACTATTCCCCAAGACTGCTTTACATTGTAGTTCGTCATCATCCATATTTTATCAATAACCTTATCATAATGAAATACACATAAACATTCATCCAAAACCCCTAAACGCATAGTTGGAAGGCTAGCATTACTAGATTCAGATTCATACTCCTCATTATCAGGTTGAGGAATTTCTTTAAATTCCTCTTCGGATAAACAAAACGAAAGAATCACTTTCTTGTTATTTTGTTTCATAACCCAATGAAGTGCTCCATTGCATAAGATACCAATCCTACTATCAATAGAATAGTTCACATCCCCAATTACTTTCCATTCATTTGATTTCAAAGCTAATACTTGAAAACAAGTCAAGCCATCACCTTTAGTGAATCCTATCATAACCTTGAAATCATCTGCAGATGAATCATAGCCAAAACCCCAACATAACAACTTGGCGTCAGTGATATCATGCTCTTTTATTCTTTGTGCCTCTCTAGTTGCGGGATTGGCTACTAAAATTTCAGAAGGGGATGGAGAGATGCATACGAGGCCAAGGGAAGAACCAAAAAGATGACAATCACGATGATCAAAGAATCTATCATCAAATTCATAGTGACGAGACTCATAGGGAGAAGCGATCCTTCCCATAACAATCCTCCTATCTATATAACTTTCGTTGCAATCAAGATGGTAATTAAGATTCATATGGAAGTTTACAAAACTAGTGCTAGAGATGAAAGTTTTCCATGACTTACATACGCTTTTGCATTTGATTAGATTGCTCATATCCAATCTTTTCATTATTTCCTCAAGGACATCGTTGTGAAGCTCTGCCATTGAAACCCTAGAGTCGGTGACACCGAAAGGAAAGAAGAGAGGGAGGTATCCACACGGAAGTGAGATATTTATTTCTATGGTGTATTTATTAGGGACTTTGGTAACCAACACTCATAAATACCAAACATGATACGAAGAAACTATTACAATGATATTTTTACCATATAGAGAGATTGACTTTTGCCAATCTGCCATGTATGATTAGTCCTTCAATACCCATAAGATCATCATGATCTTCAATAATTACTTCGTTATCCGTAATTTCTTTTTGCTATCTTTAATAGGTCCATTAACATCTTTTCATTATAGAGTACTCATTACTCAACCTTTATTTTAAAGTAAACCTTGTAATCCTAGCCTTCCACCATAAAAATCCAGTCTATTCGGCCCTTTAAACATGCATAAAGCAAGCATCGGTGCAAATTTAGTTTTGAAATAAAATTAATGGAAAGTTATTGGGGACGTGCACTATATTACCTTTATCAGTAGAATTGGTATCTTACGATTAAGAGCGCTTCACTCAGTTAAATGATGTTTCACATCAAAATTGGAAGAAACTTATGTTAGGCTTAAGGACTTTGACCTAACTTCTTCTACACTGGAGCCCATGGGCCTTTATCATCACCTACATATGTGGGCTCGTGATGGAAGACTTGGTCCCAAAGTTACTAGGCCAAACCAAATTTCAGAGTTGCATACTACTTCTTATCACAAAAGGCAAAAGCATAATGTACACGGAAGGCGAAAAGAACAGTTATAAAATTCTATATGCATTGAGAAATTCAAATTCTTTTCTTGATCATAGAAATTATTATCTTGTTCATATAAATTATCATGTTATTTTGACATAGAAGAGCAAAAATTTTTAACATACCTATCCATAGATCCTTTTTGAGATTGTATTAAATTTTCAACAACTTAGTGTTTTTTCCTCTTTCAGCTTCAGAATAAATGATTTTTTAGGAAACATCGCAATATTATGATTTTTGATAACTATTAACAAAAATAAGCAGTAATAAAATTATCAAAAAAAGCAACTTAAAAGTTAAAAGCTAGAATAGTTGAACCTGAAGTCATGGAGCTCGACTATAATTGGTGGTTGGAATAACTCTACTGATAGATTTTCAACTTATCACTTATCAGTATTTCGTTTCAACCTTTTTCTTCTTCTTTTTCATCACAAGTTAAGTAATGCATAGAATCAAGATTATCTGAAATCAAAGGAATACGCTCTTCCCTAACTTTTTGTTTCAAAATCTTCTTTAATACATCACCGAAGCTTTTGAAACAAATAAATAACTCGTGAATTATTTGATATTTTTGTTATTAAACGTAATATTAAATTGATGAAGAACCCTTGCACTGATGCCTTTAGAATTAGATTTTGAAATTGTGATCTTCTGATTTTATTGGCTTTGGGGTGGAATAAGATATTGTTGACCCTAATTTTTTGCTTGAGCATACATCTTTATCTGTTTTTTTTTTTGTTTACAGAGTCAACATTCACTATTGATGCTTTTGAATTAGGGGGGTTTTAGGGATTAGTTTTGTGGATTAGGGTTTTTTGTGGACTGGTTTGATGATCTTTACTTTTACCATCAAACCCCCAATTCAAACATTCTTAAGATTCTTGATAATTCTAAAAAACCTCAAATCCCCAATTGGTTTTATGATCTTGATTTTGTCAAGTTGCTGAGGAACAGTAACGTGGTGGAAAGGCACTAAAGGTAAAGACCATCAAACCAATCCACAAAAACCCCCAATCAACGAAACCAATCCGCAAAACCCCAAAAGTATTAATAGATAATGTCAACTCTGTCGACAAAATAAGCAATGATAAAGATGTACGTTTAAGCAAATAAAATAATCAGAGCAAACAATATCTTATTCCATCTCAAGGCTGACAAAATCAAAAGATCACGTTTCTCAATCAAATTCTAAAGGCATTAGTGACAAAATGTAAGAGTTCTTCATCAATTTAATACTATATTTAATTAAAAAAATTCCAATCAGTTCACAAGTTATTTGTTTGTAATTGTTTCAAAATTTTCAATGCAATGAAGAGGATTGCGAAACAAAAGGTTAGAGAAGAGCCTACTCCTTGGACTTAGGATAATGTTGATTCTATGAATTACTTGAATTGTGATGAAAAAAAGAAGTAAAAAAATGACAAGGAAATACTAGATAAATTGAACTCTTTAGGAACAAATTTGGAACAAATTTTTGCAGAGGTTGAATATGGTAAGTCTTATGATGTTTCCTTTTATCTGCTTCCCAAAATTCTTGATGTACTAAATTATATTTCTCTATATCAGAAAAACAAATAGTCACTAATGAATGAAAAAAAAAAATCCAAATTCAAAACAACAACCAAATTCTCAAAGTCAAGACAACAGCCAAAAATTCCAGATTCCAAACAAAAACCGTAAAAACAGACACTGATTTTGAAAGGGGGTTCAAAATCCAAACAGAAATCAGAAAACAGATAGTCATTTCAAAAGGAAATCAGATTCCAAACCGAAATCTAAATTCTGAGTTCTAACAAAAATCAGGAAAAACCAGATTCCAGGAGTAAAAAAAAAAAACAGCCTGTGATTTTTACAAACTAAAACAAGCAAAAATCAGATAATGAGAGAAGGAGAGAATCGAATTTGAGTTACCGAATAGAAACTAAGATGTGGATTTTTCTTGCTATCTATGATTCAAGAAGACAAGAAAACTTTCTGAACGTTGGGATGGTTTAGTTGAACGTTGAGGAAGACGACCTTAAAGCGTTCGACCTTTGTGACTTGTGAATACAAAGTCTTCCATCATCGATTCGATTTTGGAAATAATTTTTGATAAGCGCATAGATTATAGATATCAGGAAGAGGGAGGAAACCTGCTTAGTGCGGCATCGAGAAACATTATATCTATTTGGGCTCGTATTTGGAGTTTGGACCCCTCGAAAGTAGGGGCCAAGATCAGTTGACGACTGGATCGGGCCTATGCAAGATATAAATCCAGTAGTGTTCACCGCCCAACTATGTTTTTAGATTATAGAAGAATATTAGTAATTGAGTCTACAATTTGCCGAATTTTTATGTGTTTTTGTTGTGTATGAAGAGGGAGAACTGATTTACAAAGTTTAAAATTGAGATGGTCAAAGTAATATTTTAAAAAAGAGAGGGGTGGAACATGCATTTTACAAGGTAGAGGAGGGAAAATTGTATTATATATATACTGCAGGATAAACACGAAAGTTTAGAAAACGAAATAATGAAAGCGATATTTTACAAAGTTGAAAGTGGAGAGGTAAAACTGATATTTTCAAAAGTAAAATGATGGAAAATATCATTTTACAAAATAGAAGGGTTAAAAGTGGCGGATTATATAAAGTTGCGAGATTGCAATTGTATTTCACGCATTAACTAATTGCTTTTAAAAAAGAGACAGATGGAAAATACATTTTACAAAGTAGAAGCGTGAATATTGTATTATATATACTACGAGATAAACACGAAAGTTTAGAAAACAAATGATGAAAGTGATATTTTACAAAGTGGAAAGTGGATGGGTGAAAATGATATTTTTAAAATTGAAGGGACGGAAAATATTATTTTACAAAACAAAACGAGTTACAAGTGACAGATTATATAAAGTTGAGGGATTGAAATTGCACTTCATGCATCGACTTATTGTACATTATATATATATATATATATATATATATATATATATATATATATATATATATATATATATATATATATATATATATATATATATATATATATATATATATAGGGGAAGGCTCATACGCAAATGCAAATAATTTGCAAAAACGCGAAAACACATATCATCGAATTATACATTGCCACATCATTCTTATTATTTATCTAATTATTAAACATTATAATTATGATAAAAGGTTATATATGTAATTTTCCAACCCAACTTTCAAAATCAGTTTCTCACTATATTAACCGCATTGCATTGTAACTTCCACACAATTGTTTTTCACCGTCATTTGTAACTTGAAGTTCAATAACATGTTTTGTTTTTTATTTGGATTTTTAACATATTACCCTTCTTTCATTGATTATGATTGCATCCCACCACGTGTTGCAGTATTAATTTCTTATAATTTATCAATTGGTTTTTTCTTGTTTTATATGTAGTCAATTTCTTTATTTGCATTAAATAAGTGTGCGTAAACAAATTTCCTGGACGTACTTACGATTTTGTATTATTAAATTAACAAGAATGAAACAAGTACATGTACAATTAGAGAATGAAAAAAAATTCATACATGCTCAGCAATTGATGATAAGTATAATTAATTATCTTGACATGCCATGTTTAATTAACAAAATTTTCAATTTCGGAATCTCTTAATTTGGCACACTTCGTCAATAACTTCAATCATGTTTGACTTTTTTTTTAAATGACTTTTCAGAAATTGGAATTTGTTTTTATGAATACATTATATATCTTAAGATCGTATCATCTCACCCTACTATCATGCTCTTCCACGACCCTTTAACTATTAGTAAAATATCTAAATTACCCTTTGCTAAGAAGATACAGACAATTGTATTAACCAAAATCGATACACAAAAACCTGCAACTCAAATTTGAATTCAAACAACATGACAAATTCTACGGTGGTTGAGAGATACATCTAAGAACTTTATCACCAAGGTGGAAAGCATGGGGTACTAGAGGCCAAATTCATAATTTTGTCCATGGTGGACTTCAATGAGAAATTATCTACCGATGCATACATCTCTTTTACTTTTCCATCTCTTTTACTTTTCCGATCAAACGCCTTGAGAAAATATGTTTGTCTTGGACTTAAATGAGCTTCTTATTCTCAAAACACGACTTCAAATGCCATATTTTCAAACCTGCCACTGACAAGAAGACTACAGTGAAAGAAACCGAACAATGCCATTCTTGAATTTGTCTTGCTGTTGAGCTCTTGGGTATCATGTTCCTGTAACAAGCACACAAAAAATCACATTTCTTGCAGCTATAGAAACACAAAATCTAATTAAATACCTTTCTCGGAAGTAAAATATCTCATCGCTAATGTAAGTCACAACATCTACAAATCCTTTTTAGCCACATTGGACCAATCTTTAGCAGCTACACATGATCATCGATAGAACTGGACAAGAGTTTTAACGGTGTGATGGTGATTGATGGCAAAAAAAAGCCATGTAATCCCGACCACCCTCGATAGCCAGAAGTGCAAGCACGTAGTTTGTTGCCAAGTTGAGACATAAACCCTTATATATAGAGATTACTTTTTAAACATAACATTAGATGCTTACTTGTCATCAGAATGACTGGAAATAGGAAACGTATTTGATTCTCTATAATATCATACGGGACAGATGTATGTTGACTGAATCATTCAAGGGATCAGCCCTGAAATATTCTAGCTCTTTTGTGAGCAACTAGCCAGCCCCAACGTTACATGAGCCCAATCTTTGAACACATAATATAACTGATTGAACATGTTGTAGCTTATTTGTTTCGGTTGTAGAAGAGTCAACATAGAACATGATTTTGTGAAATTTTTAAATGATGATTAATGTATCCTCTAGTTCATCGGCTAAAAGAGGACATAGAAAAATACATGTATTAACGAAAATAGAAGACTTGCATTAACGAAAATAGAAAGATACATGTATGAAACTGAAAGATAGATTAAGTTGAAAAAATAGAGCATTAAAAAGGATTAAACATTTACCATGTGTGTTATTTGGCATTGGAGAGAAATTCGAGAAGATAATAGGTAAATATCAATGAAGGTGGAGTCTATTCAGACCACCAGTTAGGTAGCCAATAATTGGTAATGAAAGTAGACCCGACATCGATCGATAGAAAGGGAGAATCAGATTTTTTGATTAATTTGGGGTTGGAAATATGAAAGAAGGATAGTTGTGGTGTGAGGAAGAAGACAGACGCCATTTTGAGGCAATCGAAAAGATACCTTGATCTACAATTATGCAACAGAGGATTGAAGATCTCATAGACCATTGCAGACCCTGAGATCCAAAATCATGTAATCACTTCTTACCCTTACAAACTTTCTTCATCGACTCCAGAGATCCAAAATCCATTTTCTGATCTAGAGTCCTTGAAGCCATTGTTAACGTTTTCTTACAAATTCGTGTGTGTGATCGAGCCCACAAAACAGAAACTGCAGAAACAACAATAAATCCTTAGAAATTCGTTCCATTTCAAATAAAATAAAAAACCTAGATGTAAAATAAAAATAATAGAAGATAAAAATATAGAGATTACAAGAACCACTAGACAGATTGTGAAGATATGAGAGGTTAAACTCACCTTGCATCTTTGTTTTCTTGTGATTTTCCAATAAAATGATGCTCAAAGTCTTATGAATGATCTTTATGTGGGATTTGAGAGGTACCGGGAAGTATTTCCATGGTTTTACCAAATAACCCTAAATCCATTTGCCGGTTAGAACCACCGCAATTAACCGCCATAAGCTAATTACCATCTTAACCTTATAACTAAAATAAATCATTTAAATAATTAGATAATAATTAAAATTCTAATATACATGTGTAATCTTCTTATTGGTTGTTTTCATTTTCACAACAACTTTATATTTTCGCATGAACCTTCTTTATATATATATATAATATATATATATATATATATATATATATATATATATATATATATATATATATATATATAGGGGAGGGTTAATGCGAAAATGCATATAATTTGCGAAAACACGAAAACAAGAAAAAACTATGAAATTGTGCCACCTCATTATTATATTTTGGACAATAAGTCATCCAAACTTTGAACTACATCATGATAATCGATGACATATGAGAAATTGTTTCATATTAGCAAAGCATGATTTTTGACATATTTATTATGAAAACATGAATTTAAAAATGGTTAAAGACGTGAAAAAATAATACTTGTTAAAACCTCCTTTAACTCTATATTATCATAACACAATCCAATGTAAACTTATTATCTTTAATTTATTCATAATAAATTTAATTTTTATAGTACTTGTGTTTGGTTTTTATAAGACAAAATCTGTTTTCGCGTTTTCGCAAAATATTTATGTTTTCGCATGAACCTACTTGTATATATATATATATATATATATATATATATATATATATATATATATATATAATATATATATATATATATATATATATATATATATATATATATATATAGAGATAATTCAAATAAAAACAGTAAATAGTGTGAGAACGTAAATACACTATTTTTATGTTATTATTCAGCAATGAATAAATGAATAGTCACATTTAAAACTAAAATTAAAATTTACTACAAAATACACATACATAAGTTTATCATAGAATAATAACATTGTAATGAATATATGTCTAATCCAATGTTAATATTCATATTATAATTACTTCAACAATATACATATACAACATTCATTACAGAATAATAACATAAACATAGTATTTTTATGTTCTCTTTATTTGAACTTATATATATATATATAAAGGAAGGTTCCGTTGAGATTTCGTAAAAAATAAAAATTTTGATATTCAAACACGACCATGTATTTCTTATTTGTCGCTCTAGGCATCGCCGTACTAGCGTGGTGGGAGAGTTATAGTCATAAATGATTATTTAACACCGCTTTTTTCCTTTTGCCCCGCTACCTTCCCCAACACCACAACCTCCACCACCACCTTTGCCACCAATCGACCCCACCATTGCCACTTCGGTCACCTATACTATCACCACATCTGCAGCCACCACCACCTTCTCCGTTACCAACCACCATAATCATATATGCTTACTCAATCGGTGAATAAACATATATGTATATTCATTTATGATTAGGCATATACATATAAACATGTGTAATCATATATGATTATAACTCTCTTCTATATAATCATTTGTGATTAGGCATACCCCGTTGCTGCCGATATATAATCATTTATAATTAGGCATACCTCGTTGTTGTCGGTACGCTGGAACGTTAGAGCGGCAAATCAGAATTATGTGCCTGAGGTTGAATCTCAAGATCTTTATTTATTTATTGTTTTAAATCTCAAGTGAACCATATATATATATATATTATATATATATATATATATATATATATATATATATATATATATATATATATATATATATATATATATATATATATATAGAGAGAGAGAGAGAGAGAGAGAGGTAGGTTCAAATGTTTCTCACATCTATTGTGTGTTAGAATGCACCAATAAGAATTTAGTAATAATTATATGTATATTAAATGTTATCCATACTTATAACTCATTTCTATGGAAACTAATTAAATTCGTCATTAGTGTCAACAATAATATTCTTTCAGAATGAATTCATATCTAGAAGAGTGATAATGTATTGCAGCAGAATAAGAGTGTATTCTAGTAGAATACACTCTCGTTCTTCATATTCCATGCAACTTTATTGTATTTTAAGTGAGTGAGTCCTGAAACAAAATACGAACTCATATATAAAAACCTAGATGCGAATTCATTCTGAAAGAATGTTATTACTGACATTAATAACGGATGTAATTTGTTTCCATAAATAGAGAATTATAATTATGGATATCATTTAATATACATATAATTATGGAAATCATTTAATATCTATATTTATTTAATTAAATAAATATTTAATTTACTAAAATTCCTATTGGTGCATTCTAGCACACAATAAATGTAAGAAACAAAATAACCTAGCTCTCTCTCTCTCTCTCTCTCTCTCTCTCTCTCTCTCTTTATATATATATATATATATATATATATATAATATATATATAAAATCAATATTTCAATTGTCATGCTTTTAAAGCCTTTTAATATATCAAATTTCTTGTAAATAAATTCAAAAAAATAAAAAATTGTAGACATATCAACTTTTATAACTCATTTTTTGACGTCTAAGGATAAAATAAATAAATAAAACACTTTAAGCAACAATGAGATGTCATTGTGAACTTAAAGCATTCATCTTTAGAGACTAAAAATGTTTCTACAACAACAAGACGTCATTATAAAAGAGATAATCTTTAGAGAAAAAGAAACTTAAATAATAACTTGACGTCATTTTTAAAGAGATCGTCTTTGGAGAAAAATAAGTTTAAACACCAATTAGATGTTTTCGTAAAATTAAAGTTGTCGTTATTTTGAAAAATGATTTTTTAGAATATTTATATCAAAATAGTTGTTTATCTCATTTTTCCAAATTTATTTGCCATTTCTTTACTTTCTAAATGTAATCATTATCACTACAATATTATTAGTTTTTTTAAGTATTTTATAAATTATTCATCATAAATACAATAACTAAATTTATTTCAAAATTGATCCATACTAGAAATTCATTTACTATATTTAAGGCGAGTTGATTTGAATGTATCGATTTGATCCATTAAATTCAAATTAATTTTGGTCTTTTTAGAATATTTGTCTCAATAATTTGAAGTAAATTAAAATCCAATATGAACCAATCCGTTAGAATTCCATCCTATGTGTTTTCACTATCGAGTATTCAAAAGTATATATATATATATAGAGGATGATTCAATTGAGAAAAAAAAAGTTGAGAATGAGAGAATCCACACATTTATTTTCCTGCAAAACACTTAGGCGTATCGGCGGAAATGGATAAGGGATAAACATGTGTTTTCTAACCAATCATGTTTCCTTAAACTATGTTAATCATTATCTTAATATATACAAAAACATTTTTTTTTTGTTTTTTTTGATGTTTAGAAAGTCATTTTTATCGAAAAATTATTTTAAATATATCAAAATTCATAATTTTTTATTCTCTATAAATAGTCATCCATATTGATATAGTTTTTAAGATAAAATAAAAAAATTATTTTTTTTAAAGTTTCAGCTCTCGTTATTCATAAGGCCATCTGTTATACTCTCCACGACAACGGTCGTGGAGAGCTTCCAGATCGATCACCACCACCTACCACAAAGCCATGGAGTACCCTCCACGACCACGAACATAAGAACGAAGAGAGAGAGACATAGGGAAAAGAAGAAGAGTTGAGAGAAGAAGAAGCCCTGATTGGGCGTTGTCGTTCGTCTTCCCCACCACAAACCACCACGAAAACGCCCGACCACGGTAGGTCGGGGTGGTGTGCACGAACAACGCTCGTGGCCACGTAGACCACGAGCCTCTTCGTCGTTGGTATACCAGAAGGCCTAAGTGAATAAAAATCTCACAGATTTTTATTAGTGTACATTCGTTATTCACTTATGAATAAAACGTATGCTTAATTTTTTTTTAGTTTAAGTATCGTTCATATATGAATATGACACGTAATAAAGTTTCTTACTTAAAATATATTTTTTACATCATCTTTCGTCATATATTGTGTTTATATATGAATAAAACGTGTATTAGTTGTCGTCATATTTTATATTCATATATGAATAAAACATTTATCATATTTTTGTTACAGTTAATTTGTTATTTATATATGAATAAGTAGTATAAATGATATTTAAACTGTAAAAAAATTAATTATATATTTTTATTCATAAGTGAAAAACGAATGTACTATAGCAAAAATTTGATACATTTTTATTCACTTATGAATAACGATAGCAAAAAAAAAAATATATCTTAAAACTATATCAATATGGATGTCTATTTGTAGATAATAAAAAATCATGAATTTTGGTATATTTAAAATCATTTTTCGATAAAAATAGATTCTTAAAAATTAAAAAAACGAAAAAAAAACTATGTTTTTGTATATATATTAAGGTAATGATTAGCATAATTTAAGGAAACATGTTTTGTTGGAAAACATATGTGTATTCCTTTCCAATTTCCGCTGGTACGACGGAGTCTTTTGCGGCAAAAATAAATGAGTGGCTGAGAATAGGGATGAAAGTGGGTCCAAACCCGGACCGGATGGACCCGGACCCGGAAAACCCGGAACCGGTTAACGGGATTTTATAGAACCGGAAACCGGACCGGTATATAGGAACCGGTTCCAGTTCGGTTCCGGGTACGGTTCCGGGTAAAGTGGGTCTAGAACCGGAAAACCCGGAAACATCAAAGTGGGTAGGTTGGAACCGGATAAAGTGGTTTTAGAACCGGAAAACCCGGAAAAACCGGAATTTTTTGGTAATCACTTACTACTTAGTGGGTTGAACTTTGAAAATTTTCATATTGATATCCCGACTTTGGGGGATTGTAACTCATTGAATATGAAACCAAAATTAACAAAATTATAGTCAAATATCATGTACAAACTCTAAAATACACTCTGGAAAAAACCTCATGTCAATCCGACTTTAAACGAAT